GATTTTCCAATATTGACTTCAAGATGATCAAGTAGATGGATTTTCCAATATTAAAATAGCATTTTTTTATGGATTTTTGAGGTACACCTTAGAACTGATATATACTTTTTCCTGATGCAGTTTCTATAAGGCCTAGGCCTTATGAAAAAAGGTAAAGCCTCATGTCTGAGCTCAATCCGAAAAACACTTTGGACATGGAAAAATCTCTAAGATGGCTCAAAAATCAATTTTCACCATAGATAATGAAATTTGTAGCTCAAAGTGGATTCATGAAAATGGAAATTTAGATAATGTGTTATAGACTATTTTTAGCCTTAAAATCTATTTTTTTCACAATTATAATGATCAAGGTTGAGATGATCGATTTGAAAGTTTTTCAAAGCCAAAACTACTATTCTTCATGAGCTTTGAGTTGAGGTTTTACTTATTTTGGTAGGCTAGTCCTATCAAAACATTTTCGTTCAATTATTACACAACAAGAATATGAATATGCTAAAAGTTATACAAATGACAAGGTTCAAAATAATGTGTAATGTAAATCAAATTTAAAATATCAAAACCCATCATCCAATTTAACAAATTTATCTACATATTCAACTCCCCAACTAGTTTAGATGATGCTTAAATGATGATAATGATGATCTAGATATTCATTATCAACCGCTCTTAATTCTCCATCTCTTTTATTAATATTTTTATAGCTATTTTTAGATTAATGAACCGTTTCTTTCAAATTTGAATTGCCAACTTTGCTTTGTATAAATTATTATGGAATTATATACAATAAGACCATTTATTTTTTATACAAAATGGTCACAATTACTTACAACTATTCGATATGAAATCGAATAGCCAGGGTGTGTCTTAAAGCTCGGAAATTTTTTTTTTAAAGTTTGAGCCTCATCAATGGAATAAATGCAGCCCCCCAATTTCACATCCAATAATGATCAAGATTAATTGTGACCATCTTATATCAAAGATAAACAGTCTCATTATATATTTTTTCAATTATTATTGAGGAAGACTTTTAGAGGGTATTCCCCACTATCGTGATAAATCAATTTTATGGGATAGTATCAAAGTTATTGTCAAAATTTATTTTAAAATATAATTTCTATTTATGAGGGATAATTGTCACTAAGCAATAAAATAATAATAATACCTTGCTCTTTCATGATGGTTTAAATTACTAAAATGCCTTGTCAGATTCCCAACTCCAACTAAGTTCGAGGTGGAATACTTTATGAGGAAGTATGGGTGTAATAAAAATGAAAAGTAAACTCGATGGAGATTTTTGTCATGGATACCGTTTTTAAAAAGGCCCAGGTTTTATGAAAACAAAGGAAAGTGTCACTTTTAATCCTCTTCTTGAAAGCGCTTAGGGCATCGAAAATTTCCATAACCGCTTTAAAATCAAGTTTCAATATCGACTATAAAATATTGAAACTAAAAAATAATATAAATCATCCAGATCTATAAACACTTAGTTTTAAGTCGAAAGGAGCAATCTAGATAATATGCTACAATATATACCATTTTTAAGATATAAAATTTTAATTATTTTCACAATTATAATCGTCAATGGAGAAATAATGATCCGAAGGTTTTCGACTACAAATTTCAATAAGTTTTGAGGTCATAGGGCTGCAGCCCTACCAAAAGCATTTTCCTTTTTATATTACCTTGCATGAAAATTTTTCAATTTCGCCAAACGTGAAATTTTTTTTCTTTTTTTTTTTGGTAATTTTTTGGGGATGACGAGCCCCTAACCATTTTTTGAAAGGGTGTGGTTTCTATAAGGTTGCAACTTTAAATAATCCAATTAAGGCGCACTTCCAAATTTTATCATAACATGCAATTTTGGTGTAAACTTTCTTAGAATTATTTGAAAATCTATTTTCATATATAAGAATAAAATTTTAAAGTTTAAAAATAGTTAAAATCAAGTAGATCTATAAATATATG